CATTTGGGTAATTTTCACTCTGCTTTTACAGATAGTACTGCAATGAATAGCCTTGTGCTTGTATCTTTCCTACTTTTATATTATATCTTTGGGATAGATCCCTAGAAGTGGGGTTTCTGGGTCAAAAGGTAAATGCAAATGTAACTTTGCTATATATTGCCAAATTTCCCTCTAGATTTGACTCCTGTCTATAGCATCCAATATGTTTTTCTTCCTGACTTACTTTTTCATTCTTCTGTTGAAAAGCGCTCTACATTCTTGATGGAAATATTTTGAATATAGAGTCCATGTGGATCACTAATTATTAGGATGTGGATGATGAAAGACAGGAATAAGAAGGTTTTGGATTGTGTGGCTACATATTTCAATTTTATTTTATTTGAATTAAATTTACATTTATTTACGCACACATGGCAACTGGTAGCATGTTGGACAATGCAGATCTAGACAATGAGGGTGAAAAGGGAACAGACTCTGTTGAAGGCTGAGCTCTTGGGCACTCCAAGTTGAGGCCTTCAAACTGGAGACCATGAGGAACCAGCCAAGGAGACTGACAGGAGTGGAGGGCTCAGGAACTGAGAGAGAACGTTCCTCTGTAGTCCAGGTGAAGAAACCATTTCAGGATGTACACAGGAGCAACTGACCTAATGGGTCAGATGCTGCCAATATGCACATCCAGTGAGGACTCAGAATCAACCACTGGGTGTACAGTGCAGATAAGACCGTGGCCTTGACAAGTGTTTGATGACTATTGTGTAGGGTTATAGGTCCCGACTACACTTGGTTCAGGAGAGAACTCAACCTTTACTTTTGTGTGCGTAGCTCCCTACTTCCTCCTCACTGGGATGCACGATCCTTAAATGTGTATTTTTCTGCCTGTTATGTCTTTGGATGATCAATTGCCTGACACAGTTCTTTTTGTATTTTAAAGTGTTAGAACTAAGTTTTAATCCTAAATGTCCTTTTATTTTTATCACATTCCCATCATTTCAGAAACACATGGATTAGTCAACAACAAATTGTTAAAAAGAGTTAATCAAAATTAGAGTATAATATTTGTGTTATCTCCGCAATTAAAAATAATGATCAGCCAGTAATGTTTAGTCACTTTTATAAACCATTATTATTCTAACTAAGGGAATAGCTTTCTTTCAGGATAATTCAGCCCCAATCAGTTCAACATTTTGACAACTTTATCATTTTGGACCAATGTACTTTTGGCCTTTACCTCCCATTCTTAATCTTGTCAGCACTGTATCCTTCCAGGCTGATCCTTTGAAAACAAATTCTTTGTCCCTTGATTGAGTTATTAAACTGTAAATGTCAAGTTTTTTCCCATTTACAAAGGTTTTTTTATCAATTGGTGACCTAAAAAAGATTAGATGTAATCTTAGATATTAAAACTATCGTTCAGCATGGAAGATCTTTAAAAAGACACATGAATTATAAGTCAGAATTAACTTTAAAAATTCTTAATGAGGAAGTGACATACTTCTTGAGGTTATAATTTGTTCAGTCTTCCAATTTCTTAGCCTATTAGCCTGATTTGACCCTGCAGAAATAGGTAGATATTTTTATGTTTTTATGAAGTTCATCCAGCAAATCTCTACATCATTGATTGACATACTGGGTTTAGTGAAACCCGAGAGTTTCAGTAGTAATCGAAAGAAACATGAAATTATAAAGCAAACATACACACTAGTAAGAACCTATAGCTTACAAAGAGCTAAAAAAACCCTTCCTCATTAAAAATAATTTTAACCGTCATTTAAAATATATTCTACATAGATTTTTTATATGTCATAGTAATGTGAAAACAATGTGAATAGGATCATGTTATAATTTAAAATTTTCAGAATTCAATCTACAAGCCCAGTTTCTTTCCATGTGTGGACTTAATATATACTAATAAGTATTTATTTTGAAAGCATAAATATGATAGCCTACAAACATTTCCTGTTCAAAACATGAGTTTACTTGCTGTGGATTATCGCAGTTTTGACTGGAGACTCAATTATTCATTTATTTTAACATGAATGACACAGGATTGGATTGAATAATCTTACTTAAATATTGACTTAAACTGCTGAATGCATAAACATTTTTGCATGTTTTAAAATTTCCTTAACATTTTCTCTCAGAAAATTAGGATTCTGTAAAAAATATATATAAGATTATTAATGTTGGTGGAAACTTAAAAATTGCATGATATATTTGGACTATATTTATGTTTCTGAATGGCACATAAATCATAAATATTACATTTTTATTTTCTATATATATTCTATAATGATTTAACTCTGAAATTCAGCATTTTAGTATGTTGACATCTATATCATTATTATTTAATGTGAATATGATACTTCATAGGATCCAGTTTTTATATTCATTCACTATTTTTTCTCATTTAAAATTATCATATATCTATATATATTATGTTTTTAAAAATTGAAGTATTGCCTATAATGTGTGATATATCGTGATATTACTTAACTGGGTTGGTTAAAAATTATTCATTTTCTATCACAAATATTTCAGTCCCAAAGTGGCATGATTTAACAGAGGGAACATGGGATCAACCCTGTCAGGAAACTGGTTTGACTCCTTACTAGCTAAGCATATGACCTTGAGACGAGTACTCAGCATTTCTTAGCATTACTTTCCTAATATGCAGTATGAAGATGGTAATCATGGTATCTCTTATTTGGTAGATGAATAAAAAACACACATAAAATGTCAACCTAACATACATTCACCAATTAACAGATGTTAATTTCTATTATTTCTTTGTTATTGTTATTATTATCATGCAAAATTGTGTTCTGTATTAGCCAGATATTTAGTGGCTCCTGTTTTGGTTATAACCATGTGAGAGGGAGGCAAACACTTTTCCAGGTAACAGTGATTTCTGACAAGGAGTAGGATGCTGAGGGGAAATCAGCTATATTCTATGCATATTGAATCTCAAATTAGAAGTCAAAATGCAGTGTTCCTTTCTGACCCTTATTTGTGTTTTAAATGGTGGCTTGGTTCCCAGACATGCCTAGCAAAATATAATGAAGTCAACATGTAACTGCTTTAGTTGAATAGTTGGAGAATTTAAATACCATTGAGAACACTGTTAACAGCAGATAATGTACTATGCTCAAATATCAACAGCTTGCAAATATGTTCTGAAATTCTGACCTCTTTTTTAGTTGTGGATTTCCTATATTATAGATAGGAGTTTTGAATTTCAAAATTCTATGAAAAAATCTATTTCTTAATATGATATGGATATTAACTTTATAAAAATTTAACACAGAAAAATATCACTGGATTACATGAAGCTATACCTGTCCATATGGCTCCATAAATTTTTTAAAAAATTATGATTTAATAATAACAGGTTATATTAAGTGTTAGCCAATCAAGTCAGTTCATTTAAAAATAACTTCTTTGAATGAATCATATAGAGGAAGTATTGGCAATGTAGTGGTAAACAACAATCATTCTCTTCCATTAACCCTCTCAATTGTTATTTGTGCAAAAGCCTTAGCTGCAGAAGACATCAAAGGATTAAATATAGAAGTTATTAGAATGGAAATGAGAGGTTTAAAAGGGAGGTAAAAGAAAACGAACATACAATAGTGGAGTTTGCACAGAAAAAAATATGAACAGACAAAAAGGAAAGTTGAAGTTATACTTGAAGAAAATACTTCTGAATAAAACCATTGAAACAGTGATCAACTCTTTACCTTGAAATTTTTATGTAGAATTATCAAAATACAAACATCCTTTGATATTCTTAAACACCAAGGATTAACAATCATGTGAGCAGGAAGGGAAAAATAATCATTAACCAGGGGCAAGGGTAGTATTGAAAATAAAAATGGACATACCCATCAATCATAAAGGAGTAGGTTATACACACTCAGTGCTACTGCTGACTGACTTTTAGTAACTGCATCGAGAGCTAGAGATTTTGTTTTGTAGAGGTGGACATTTATTAGGTTATTTATTCTTTAAGCTGCATCCTCTCACAGTGAGATTATAAGAGTTACCTTTGGTAACTTCAGCTATGCTTATTCTCTGTGACAATCTTCAACCTCACGTGAAATGAATCCACTAAATTTTGACTTGGGGAGGTGGGAGTGAGGATGTTATAGCATTTGTACTAAAATAGTTCTGTTTTTATTTTTTAAATAAAGCAACTATATCTTAAAACTTTGTAGCTTTTATTACTAAACATTAATCTTATCCCCATTAAAATAGTGAAACACAAGTCAATAGCCTTATAGGCCAACTCCACTGGAAGTCATTTCCATTAATGTCAGTTGGTTTGATTTTAATTTGTGGCTAAGCTAGAGGCACCAAAGAAGGTATATTCTTCCTCTTTGCAGATGGAGGATCACTGAATCTGAAGATATCACTAGATATATGTCTTCTCCAGGGTCAGCTCATTGTAAAAATATGATATTTTCTTTTAATAATTGTCTTTAATGAAACTCTCACAATATTTAAATATATGCTCTTTTTAAAAAACACAATATGGATAGGAATAGGTTACTGGATATAGAAGGATACATTGACTTTCCTGTGGCTGCTTGGACATTAACAATTAACTCATGAAAATATTCAGGGTTGGTTTATGATAATAACTGGTTGAAACAAAAAAAATGTGTATTTCCTTTGTTTCTTAGTACCCTAAATATGCTTGTAAGAATATATGTGTTTAAGATCACTCTGAGTATGTGGAAATTCATTTCTCACCTTATTTGGGAAGTAAAAGGGGTGATATTTTTCCTTGCTTGATGCACACTTAAATATTATTTGGGTTGATCTGATGATTTTTGCTTCATATATAAATTTAATTTTTCAAATTCATGATACATTTGCTCAGTTTTCAGAAATTTATTGTGTTAAGCAAAATATTGATCATTTTCTTATTGTTTTAAAAATTACATAGAAATTGTGCTATTTCATTTAATAGTAAGACACTTAAAATTTTTATTTTTCAGAATTGAATTCAGTGATCATGTAAGCTAGAGAAAGGAGATGAAAATAACCTCTGGATATTCTTCTCATGTGATATTTATTCTGGATGAAGCATTAAGGCAGCTAATAGATGTGCATCACTGTAAGTATTTTCTAATGAATATAGAAAGCTTATTATTTTCTGGTTCAATAATGTCATATATGGTACACTTTCACAGAATTTAAGAATAGTGTAAGTAGTGTAGTAACAGTAGTAGGCACCTGAAATACTAGGTGACAAGAACAGAGTAACTTGAAAAGAAAAAATTATCCTGGTTATAGAATCACATAATTATAAATACTTGGTAAAAACAAAGGTGATGGACAAAATCATAATTATTTACAATGTCAGCATGATCTTTGCTTGAATATATTTATGAGTGATAATTTTCTGATGAAAAAGTAAAATAATTGTAAAGCAATGCCGGGAAGAATAGTCTTATAAATAAGAAATGCAATATGAGTTATAGGATTATAAAAATAACTGAATGAGAAGCCTTTATAAGGTGAGCTGTTTAAATTTTGGTGATATTTTTAAATATATAGAAATAGTATAGCACCAAATTCAATTAATGGAGTGCTCAATCTGTATCTAATTACATTATCAAGTACTCTTTACTCACAGTATTTGCAATTTAATCATACAAAGCTATTGCATTTATAAAGAGAACAAAAAATCTTGTAAACTGGCCCGAGGGCTTGATTTGATCATATAAATGAAGAAATAGACTTTTCATTTAATATTCCACAGCACTCTACTGCAGTTCAGGGTAAGTGATATTGTGATTGGTAAAGAGGCTGATTTCACTGTTAGACTAACAGTTGCCTATACAATGTCTTTCATTTTGTGACTAACAACAAAAAAAATACCACCTCAGGGGAGAAATTCAGAGACACTGTATTTAATAGTAAAACCTCCAGACAAGGAGATTGTTTTTAGATTTTTAAATCACTTATAAATATCTTAGCCAATACTAAACTAGAGCCCACAAGCAGGGCATTGAGATTGGTCAGACCTGTGCCCTAGAGGTGGCTACATAGGTTGAATGTCACCCCAGGATACAGTCAAGTATTTCTTGTATTTTGACTTGTTTTGTTAACCAGAAAAATTATTCAGATAATGAAAGCTCTTTTTAAATATCCTATGATATAATATTTTCCCCCCAAAACTGAACATGTAATTTGGAAAAGTCCTTGTGAAGGAAACAATTTAATTTGCATTAGTTTATTCATAAATCTAAAGGTATTTTATTTTCTACTAGCAGTAACTTTCCACTTAAAAATTTTAAAATTTTATTTGTAGTAATATTTTCACTTACATCTAAAACTTGAGTGGTGGATCTAATTTATATTTTGAATGGGTAAGTAAAGGTTTCAGAAAAATTGTAAGACTTATTTTCTTACCTGAGTTATAATTTTTACTTTTTCATTGTCTTACAAAAATATGTTTTCACAATATGGCTGAATAATGAAATTGATTCAAAGCCAAATTAACACTCAAGACAAAAATCAAATTTACTAAATGTGTTACTTGTTGTATTTAAGGAGTTGAAAGACAATAATTTTTAATATGTCTTTTTAAATATAGTTTCTCTAGGTTAGAGTCATAGAGAAATTTCTATGAAGGTAAATAGTTCTGTGAAATATAGAGACCTTTTTGAATGAAGTGAAATTATTTTCAGTTAATATCCCTTATGACTTCTGACTGAAAGGAATTTTTGTGTTCTTAAAACTTAATGTTTTTCTAAAATGGCTTAGGCCATTTATCAGAAGTATGTTGTTAAATACTGATTTGCAGAAATAATTTTCAATGACATTTATTTATTTATTTAATTTCTTTCTTTTTTTTTTATATTTCAGCATGTTGTGGGAGTACAAATGTTAAGGTTACATATATTGCCCATGCCCCCCAAGCCCCCTTAAGTCAGAGCTTCAAGTGTGAGCATCCTCCAAACGTTGCACATCTCACTCATAATGTTTGTATATACCCATCCCCTCCTCACCCCTCCCACCCACCTAACACCCGATGAATATTATTCCTATATGTCCACTTAGGTGTTGCTCCGTTAATACCAGTTTGCTGGTGAGTACATGTGATGCTTGTTTTTCCATTCTTGAGATACTTCACTTAGTAGAAATGGTTCCAGCTCTATCCAGGAAAATACAATATGTGCTATATCACCATTGTTTCTTAGAGCTGAATAGTACTCCACGGTATACATATACCACATTTTATTAATCCACTCTGGGATTGATGGGTACTTGGGCTGTTTCCACAGCCTTGCAATTATGAATTGTGCTGCTATAAACATTCGAGTGCAGGTGTCCTTTTTGTAGAGTGTCATTGGATCTTTTGGGTAGATGCCCAGTAATGGGATTACTGGATCAAATGGTAGATCTACTTGTATTGCTTTAAGGTATCTCCATATTGCTTTCCACAGAGGTTGAACTAGTTTGCAGTCCCACCAGCAGTGTAGGAGTGTTCCTCTCTCTCCACATCTACGCCAGCATTTATAATTTGGGAATTTTTTGATAAAGGCCATTCTCACTGGAGCTAAGTGATATCTCATTGTGGTTTTGATTTGCATTTCCCTGATGATTAGAGATGTTGAGCATTTTTTCATATGTTTGTTGGCCAGTATTCTGTCTTCTTTTGAAAAATTTCTGTTAATGTCCTTTGCCCACTTTTTGATAGGGTTGTTTGATTTTTCCTTGCTAATTTTCCTGAGTTCTAAATAGATTCTAGTTATCAGCCCTTTATCATATGTGTAGCTTGCAAAAATTTTCTCCCATTCTGTGGGTTGTCTGTTTGCTCTCTCGACAGGTTCTTTGGCTGTGCAGAAGCTTTTTAATTTGATCAGGTCCCATTTATTTTTGTTGCTGCTGTGATTGCCTTTGGGGTCTTCTTCATAAATTCTTTGCCTAGGCCAATGTCTAGAAGAGTATTTCCAACATTTTCCTCTAGAATTCTAATAGTTTCACACCTAATGTTGAAGTCTGTTACCCAGCATGAGTTGATTTTTGTGAGAGGTGAAAGGTGTGGGTCCTGTTTCAGTCTTCTACATTTAAGACTAAGTGATATTTGAAAACATTCAGTTTATGTAACACCCTTAAATTGCATAAAAGAATGTTTAGCTTATTGATATAAGCACTTGTACACATCTGCTTTTCTTAATAACAGTGATTACAAGGATGGGTATATAGAACTTCATTTATACCAACAAGATAACTTAGTGTAAGAAATTTTTTTTCATAAAGCAAAATGTATCAAGCCCTCTAGTGGCATTAATATATGAGATATTTCTTGTGATGTTTGAACAATAAAAGCAGGTGTTTTTGTTCCTTAAGTGAGGTATTTAACATTTTGTGACATTAGCTATTTTATAAATGCCTATTTGCTCTGTTTGGCACATAATTTGTATAATACTTTAGGTAGTTTTTTATAAAGATGAAAATCTTTACCTTAGGATAAAAAATTTTAAATGCCTAAACTTAACATTGAAGAAATGAATAGCCCACTAGGTGATAAATCACAATTTTTGTATTAGTAAATGTTATCGTTGGGTCTGACATTAAAAGATATTTATAGTGTGATGATAATACTACTTTTAAAAATGTTACATAATTTACAGACTTAGAAAATATCTTCATTTGAATAAACAACACAATGAAAAATAAACAATAGCTAACTCTTTGCAATTCTTGCTGAGATCTTTGATACTATTTAAAGTCTAAAAGAAGTTAATTGTCTTATTCATACTTAGGGATGTTCCCAGGGAGAATTTTTTTTAATTTGACTTTTATTATAGAAGGCATGCACTTAGAGAGGAGTTAAGTTGGCAGTTCTATAAAATGTATTTCAATTATTAAGGAACAAGTTTTAACTTTATGCCAGCAATATTTGTATTTCTTTCTTAAAAATAATTTTAAATATGAACATATGATGTATATAGCCAGGAGAAACTGAGAACTGTGAAGCAGTAGAAATGGCAAAGTAATATTGCAAAGTTTAAGACACAAAGATGAGTCTCAGAGATTATCTATTCTCAAAGATGAATTCCTTGATTTCCTATCTTTTATTTCAACTTTATTTTAGACTCTGACATTAGGTTCATGGAGTAACTGCTAAATACATTGTGGTTGAAAGAACTGTACTAGGTTTTGGAAGACCTGCATCACTTCTCAGCTTCATACAGTTATCTTTGTTGTGAAATATGAATAATCACAGCCCTACCTTACCTAACATGCCCACCAGCAACTCTGAAGCTAATTATCATTCTTTTGGAAATGTGGACGTTACCACTGTTCCTCACTGAGGAATTTATTTACTTAGCGAATGTATGGTTCTACTCTTCTCCTTATCTGTGCACACTCCTTCTGAGACGTCTCCAGTTAAAATTGATTTAAAACTAAATACTCTTGTTTGCCCATCTACCTACTCTTCATGCTCTAACTCTACCCAACTTCAAATCTGTGTCCTTAAATCTTTAGCCTTCACTCTGACACTAAGTCATTTTGAAATGTGAAGAAGTTGGTGTTTGATATTTGTGTGTCCAAAACATATATTTACACATCTGCTCTCAGGCTATCCTAATTTTTTCTATAGCCCTTGAGTTTGGAGTATCATGATGTATGAGTAAGTGACTTCACAAACACTAACTTCAAAAAGGAACAAAGTAACAGAATATTCTGGAACTTTGCATATTTCCAGACTCAATGCTACATAATATATAGCTCTAGGGAAGTGAAATTTTTGGACTAAAAGTAAATGTGGCCTAGTCACAGCACCTAACTGTACCCTCAGGTCACATAGACTTCCAGGCTCACAATATATTCACTTCTAAATGAATAAATTTTATTACAGAATTTCTGAGATTTCTTCTACTCTAAGAATATTTTGGTTCTAAATCATTGAACCACTGAAAAGATATCATCCGGCAAAGTGGGGGCAGCAAAATAATGTTTCCAGGTTGTTTTTCCTTGGCATTATAATTTCCTTCCATCTTCCATCTCTTCCTTGGTTGTTTGGAGCTGAGCAGAGCAGGAAACAGCTGAGCTACCAGCTGTCTAAGTAGTCGATTAAGAAAATAACCCCAGATGAAA